CTGTCCCTGTCCCTGTCCCTGCCTGTACAAACTGCAGTGTGAGTGATGGCTCTGTGCTCCCAACATCATTCCTGTCCCTGTCCCTGTCCCTGTCCCTGCCTGCACAAACTGCAGTGTGAGTGATGGCTCTGTGCTCCTGTCCCTGTCCCTGTCCCTGTCTGCACAAACTGCAGTGTGAGTGATGGCTCTGTGCTCCTGTCCCTGTCCCTGCCTGCACAAGCTGCAGTGTGAGTGATGGCTCTGTGCTCCTGTCCCTGTCCCTGTCCCTGTCTGCACAAACTGCAGTGTGAGTGATGGCTTTGTACCCCCAGCACCACTCCCCTGTCCCTGCCTGTCTCATGGCTCTCTTGTTGTTGTTGCAGTTCACAATGTCAAACCTGAATGTCTAGAGGCCTACAACAAGCTCTGGTAAGTGTGTGAGTTCTCTTTTCACCTTTTAGCCATGTTGATTTGCCAGATATTGTAGTTAACTAGAGGGGAAGTGACAAAAATTCTGCTTTTTTAGGATTTGGTATTCAATATAATCTATGAAAGAGTCAAAAGTCCTGCACTCAGTTCAGCCCACCTCTCTCTTGGCATTGCCATTTCCTGAGTTGTAGTTGAGGATGATTCCTGTCTCTCCCCCTTCCCTGAGTGGTCCCAAAGTTCTGATCCCTGCAGGGAGGGCTGGAATGTGGCATTCCCACTGCAGCTGCCAGGCTGAGGATGGGTTTTATGTGCACACTGGAAGGAAAGAGAGATCACTGCTAAATAAAACTACACCAGTGTCAAACTCAGATGTTAAAACCCAGGGGTTGATTTCCTCTCAGCTCATTCACATCCCTCTGCACAAATCCTGCAGCTGAGCTCCAAGTGTTACCCTTGGATGGGGTTTGTGCTTTGGGGTGATTCCCTCCAGAGGGAGCAGTGCTGGGACAGCTTTCCCAAACAGCCACATCTTTAGGAATTACTCACATTTTGCTTTAAGAATAAAACTGCAGAACTATTACTCATTTTCTGCCTCCACAATCCCCCCTCTGGAGCCCTGAAAGAGCTGTGTGTTAACTTTGGGGCTGAGCCTGGCAGCCAGCAGTGCTTTTCTCACTGCCAATACAAACATTCTCAGCAGAATGACAATAATGACCATAATGACAATAATGACAATAATGACACCTTCCTGCATCCAGCTCTGAGGTGTGAGCACAGCAGCTGGGAGGAAATCCCAGCTCCCAGTTCGTGTCCTCAGCTCATCCCTCACCTCTGTGTTAGTCTGGATAACCCAGAACTGTTCTCCCTGCTGTAGAAGCATAAAAAGCCACTAGAATAACATTCAATCAAGGTATTTTTAGCTTTTTTTTTTGTTTAAAAAATAGCTACACACTAAAGGACAATTAGCATTCAGCCAGCTTGCTGTTTAAAAGCTGAATATAATAAACATGTCCAATGATGCAAGCCAGGGAATCTTCTCTGCAGAATTTCATGAGCTGCCTGAATGTTGAGTGAGAGCAGAGATTTCTGTTTGCAAGGAAAGAGACAAACAGCAAAGAAAGAAACTGCTGACAGCAGTCAGATCAAATATCTGTGGTTGGATTGATTCTTTCCAAAGCAGATTGAAGCATTTCAGGCAAGGAGACAACTTGAATAAAGTAATAAACAAAATTAAGCCTCTCTGAACTTCCCTCCTGCCTCTTCCTAAAGAAAGAAAGAAAAGAACAGGTTAATTCTGTATCATATCAAAATGAGAATTAGTCATCATCATCATCAGGTATTCATAAATAATGTAATGAAGGCAATTACAAGATTATTTCATGAATCACTGTGATTTAGGAGCTGAAAAATTAGGGACAGGTTTTTTTAAAAAATGTTCTGTGGGCATTTTTTTCTCTAATTTTCAACAATATATGGTAGAATTATGCAATATTTTCCCATTTCTCTTCAAAGCTGCCTTTCCAGGACCTCATTCTGCTTTGCAAAAAATGAACTATCCTTGAGAATATCCTTGGAGAGTCATTTTATCATATTATTTACACTGGCTAGTGAGAAAATGTCGAGGTACAAATTGGTAATGAGATTTGCTCAAGGTTGTCTGGAAAGTCAGTGGCAAAATCCAGAGGAAAACTCATCCCTAATGACTCCCACCCAGCCCAGCCTACTTTTTATTCCTTGATGCTTGCAGAGACTCTGCCTGTGAGCCAGACTGAGGAGGAAGGGTAATTATTGAGGGAAAAATAGCAAAAAGGCAGAGTTCAACCAGACTAATTGACTTATTCATCAAGGCACAGTGCAGGGAAAGCTGTCTTGACTGAGTCAGCAATCAGCAAAACTTCATTTCCTCATGCTAATATGGGCCACTGCTGAAGTTTGAAAGAGTGTCAGAAATCCTGGGAAAAATCAGACAGAAATTTGGAGTTGGGGGTATTTTTAAGATTGTCCCAGTGTTCATTAGTGGGTGAGTTGCCTCAAAGTAAGAACACTTTCTGAAATCAGAAATCAATACTGTGAGCTGCAGCCACTATTTCAGTTATCAGATTATTTTTATTCATTCAGCTCAGCAGCTGTAATTGGTTTAGAAGAGTGTGCTTTCATATTTCTGAGTTCTTTGGCCTTGAGGGGAGCTTTTCCTCAAGCAAAGAAAAGCTTTTCCTCAAAGAAATAAAAGTTTTTCCTCAAACAAATCACCCATGCAGGCTGAGTGTTCACTGAGATATCCTAATATTTGTTTTCCTGATGTGTTGGATATCCTTTTAGACAGACATAATTGTTTAGATACACCTAATTGACTGCATCCAGAAATGCAGTAAGTGTTATATATTATAGAAATGTTATAGATCTTTGTTATAAATTTCTAAAAAATGGTAACACTCACCTTAATTCTCCTTGGGGGTGCAGCCACCTTCCCCCTGCATTACAGAATTTGCTATTTCAGCTTTTTTCCTCTGCCAAATAAACCTTGTGAATGTTCCTAGCATGATGCTGTGTTAAACATTTTTTACCTATGGCCTCCCTGAAGGCAATGCAACCCAGTGTCTGTGTGTTCCTTGTTTTCAAGTCAAGAGGTGCTGCCAAAGATTCATGAAGAAAAACACTACCCTTGTGCTCTGGTGGGGACTTGGAACACGTGGTACGGAGAGCAGGATCAGGCTGGTAGGAGATAGCAGTACAATGTACACCCGTGTGCTTGGCAGGTTTTCTTCTTTTGAATAAAGTAATCATCTCCCCTATGTGCACTGAGGGGCTTTGTGCATCACTGCTTGCTTTTTGTGCTGGTTGGACAGCAGAGCATTCATCCCTTCAGTTTTGTCTCGTTGCGTTTTCGTGTTTTCCAGGTGCTGATGGTTGGTAAAATGAAGATGTTTTGGGGATATATTTATAAAATACACAAATATTTATGGGTGACTCTTGCAAAGGCAGAGTTTGTCCCTCTTTGGGCATTATAAAAGCTTTGCTCAGCCTTTTCAGGCTGTATGATAATAAATTTCAAATCATTCCAACCTATCTGCGTTGTAAACATCACATTAAGCTTTTCTGAGGGAAAGTAAAAATCTTTCTGTTCATGTTCATACAAGGGCACTGCCTAACTATGAAAACAAACTGGAGCTAGACATGGCTGAGGAGCTGCTACAGAGGTAACTCCAAAGAGCCCAGTGCAGAGAGAAAACCTGAAAAATGCCCTGGGAATTGGAAGGAATGGGAAGCCCCAGATCCAAACCCATAGAGGTTCTGTGAGAGCCTCAGTGCTGGGGCTTCCTGATTCAAAAATCAACTCCTGCACACAGCAATTCTCCCTGCAGTGCCAGCATATTGCAATATTGACACTGAACAAATGCAGGGAATCCACAGCAGATGAACCAAACAGTGTCTGAGGGCAGCCCTGGAAACTGAAGGGGAGTTGGGGAATGGGGACAATTGGAATGGGAATTGCTCAGGCAAATCCCAGTGGCTGCTTTTGGAACAGCTGAACTCAGGCTGGGTCTGTCACTGCACCCCCAGCCTGCCCTGGAAATGTTCTTGCAGCACTGGGATAAAGCAGATTGTGGGGTTGGAATTGTTTGCATGTTGTTTACACTGGCTAGTGAGAAAATATCAACATAATGAGAAAATGAACAATAATAATGAATTATCAGTGATCAGTGCTGGGTTAATATCAGGTGGAGCCATCAAATCTGCCCTGGGGGTGAGGCAGCAGGAGCAGGAGCAGAAATCTGCTCTCCATCAGCCTCCTTTGTTCTCTTAGAAAAGGCAAAGAGCTGCTTAACAGCACAGAAAATAGGCTTTATTTTTCTGTGAGGTGAAATTATTGCCTTTCTATACTAAATGCCTGTAAATACATCTTTCTGTGATTTATTAAATGACTTTATTCTGATTTATTAAAGAGGGAATGCTTTGAAAAAAATTTAGATACAACCATAGATACTGGGATTGTTTTTAGAGGGGAAATCCCAGCAAATATTCAGCTTTCTTCTGCTTTTATTCATGTTGAGCTCAGAAATAACATTTGCATCGTTTTTCATGTCCTACAGAAAGTGTCTTGCTTGTGTGCTGGAGTAATTTACTGAACTGAAAATCTGCCCCTCTGCTGCTCTTAGATGAAATTGGTACAAAGCAGTTTTTGGAATCAAGTCATCCTCTTCAGCTGAATCTTAATTTCAATAGCAGTCATGACAAGTCTTCACATCTTACTAGCACGGCAACAAAAAGTCCTTTCAGAAATTCCTCTGTTACCCTCAGAGTGAATTGTAAAATTTTCTAAGAGAAAACCCCTTTCAAAAAGCAGATGATTCCATTATCCCTAAAATAATCCAATGTGATTTTCATTAATGAAAGTCTGTTTTCAAACCTGCTGCTTGGTTTCTATTTTTGTGTAATTTTGTAGTGTGAAGAGCATTTTATAGTGTGATTTTTCCATGATTTACACTGGTCTGAAAAAAACTGAAATTTTCTCTGTTTCAGTTCATTTGTGGAGATATGAGGGAGGTTACCCAGCTCTCAATGAGGTCATGAGCAAACTTCGTCAAAATAAGGTAAAAAATACTGATTTTGTTACTCAGAGCTAATCAAAAAATGCAGATTTAGATACCAAAGTGTCTCCTCCCTTCCTGTCCAAGCCCAGAAAGCTCTTGGAGAAAGGATTTATTCTTTATTCTTATTATAAACATTTCATTCCTGATTATTTCCCCTATAAATCCTTGGAATTCTCAGATTCACCAGAGACAATTCAGATTCCTTTCAGGATTTCACTATCCCACAACCCTGACAGCATTAATAAAAAAACCAATTTAAGGCAGATGTGGTGTCCTGCTGTTTGTTGTTGCAGAATTTGCCCCATTTTGCCCCGTTGTTTTTTAGGAATTCACAGAATTCCGGAAGGAGAGGGGTAACATGCTGCTGTCCCGCAAGAACCAGCTCCTGCTGGAGTTCAGCTTCTGGAATGAACCAGTTCCCAGAGATGGCCCCAATATTTATGAACTGAGGTCCTACCAACTCAGAGTAAGTCCAGATTTGATTTATTTCTGATTTTTTTTTTTCAGTTTTGTGCTGTTCTAAAACCTTTGGGAGGTTTTTATGGCAAGCAGAGCTTATCAGAAAAATCAGATTTTTTATCTGGGGTGGTTTCTGAGTCAGGGCTGGTGTCAGTGTGGGGTCTGAGGTGAAGGCAGGCTCCAACAAGATCCTGATCTGAAAATCTGAAACCCTGTGCTTGCTTTGAGGGATGCTCCAGAGATGACTAAGAGTGGTAAACAGAGCAATTAAAGATTATTGAAATATTCTTATCACTCCCAGGAAGGGATTGTGTTAATACAGGGTGGTTTCCATACAGAAACGGTGTGAAAATTGTATCATATTTTGCTTTAAACTCTAGTTTTAACAGTGGGTTTTGTTTTTGCAGCCTGGAACAATGATTGAATGGGGCAATTACTGGTAAGTGTTAATTAATTAAGGTAAGTGTTAATTAATTAAGGTAAGTGTTGCCTGGGATGCTCTTGGTGGGAAAAAGGAGGTGCCAGGGTGGCACCAAAGCCACCAAACCCCAGTGCAGGGCCCTGCTCAGACAGTCCTGTGACCTTCTGAGAGAAAAAAAAAATCAATTTTGTGCACAAAAACCCCTCTGTGGTTTGGCTTTGCTTCCCAAAACCCTTTTAGTTTGCTGCAAAAACCTGGAATTTCAGCAGAAAGCTGCTTGGGAAGGGTGGCACTTTGGGAGCCTTGGTTCATCTTTCCCAAAGCACTTCCAGCTGAAATCTTGGCTCTTTCAAATCAAGTTATTTATTGAAAAGCTGCTGAGCGGCACATTTGTGTTTTAATATATGGGTTAGAAGGATTTGAGACAGTTTTCTATTGATTGTGTGCTTGTGGGTTTGTCTTATTTATAACCTGTGT